AAATACCACATGTTCTCACTTATTTGTGGGAGCTAAAAATAAATAAATAAATAAATACACAAATAAAGAGGGGGGAAGAAGACACAATAATCACAATGATTCCTTGAACTTTCTAAGACAAGTGAACAGATATGATGTAGAGGGGTGAGGGGAGGGGGGAAGAGGAACAGGTAAAGGGTCATGAAAATCAACTACAATGTATATTGAGAAGTTTAAAAAAAAAGTGACAACTGGAAGTGCTGGTGAGAGTACTGTAGGATGGATTCTCTTACAGGCCTCCACTGGTAGTGTTACTTGGTTATCTTTCTGGAAAGCAGTCTGGCTATTTGTGTCAAGAACCAAAAACATATTTATGGCTATTGGCCCAATAATTCCACTTCTAGGAGTCTATTCCATGGAAGTCACCAGAGATGTGGATTAAGATTTATGCACAGAAATGTTTAGCAACATATGCCTATATTGAAACAACAAACTGTACCCAATAAAGATGTGTGATGAAAAAAATTAAAATAATGAAATGTTTAATGGAAAAAAAATTAATGGAAAGATTCATTTTATCTTTCAATTTCATTTTTCCACGAATTTTCTGAAGTACCTGTGTGTGTGTGTATGTGTGTGCATTTATCTACATACCTTATAAATTTCACAATACAGTAATACTTTTGTTTTAAACACTAAATTTTCTTTTAATTGTTTTATATTTAGCCACATATTAACATTTTCTTTTCTTTTTTTTTTTTTCCTTTTTGTCTTTTTTCGTGACCGGCAACGGATTGCAACCCTCAGTGTCGCGCCCGTACCAGACCGGGACCGGCAACGGGATCGCAACCCTCGGTGTTGCACCCGCACCTCACTCAGCCAGTGAGCGGCCAGTCTGTATGTGGGATCTGAACCCTTGGCGGGAGCGCCGCTGCGCTTCCCAAGCGGCGCACTGTAGCAGTGCGCCACCGGGCCGGCCCCACATATTAACATTTTCAATGCTCTTTATTACTTCCGGTAGCTCTGAATTTCCATCTGGTGTCATTTTCTTTCAGCTTAAAGACTTCCTTTAGAATTTCCTGTAATACGGGTATGCTGGCAACAAATCATCTCAGTTTTGTTTATGTGAAAATGTATTTTCCCTTTATTTTTGAGGATGTTTTTGTTGATATAGAATTTTGAGTTGGTCACATTTTCTTTTTTTTCACTGTGGTAAAACATACACAACACGGAATTTCCATTTTAAACAATTTTAAACATACAACTGTGTGAAATTAATTACATTCACGATGCTGGGTGTGCAACCACCCCTCATCCATTTGCAAAATTTCTTCATCATCCCAAATATAAACTCTGTACCCATCAAGGAATAACTTCACATTATTCCTTCCCTGCTGTTCCTGGTAACTTTGTTTTTTTTTTTTGAATTTTTATTTTGTCAATATACAATGTAGTTGATTATTATGTCCCATCTGTTCCTGGTAACTTTGTTTTTTTTTTTTGAATTTTTATTTTGTCAATATACAATGTAGTTGATTATTATGTCCCATCTGTTCCTGGTAACTTTGAATCTACTTCTGTCTCTGAAATTTTTTTCTTTTTCTTTTTTCTTAATTGACCCATGATGATTGTATACATTTATGGAGTAAAATATTATATTTGGGTACAAATATACTGTGTGTAATGATCATATCAGGGTGTTTAGCATATCCATCACCTTGAACATTGGGTTAATATTTTCTTTCAGCACATTCAAAACGTCATTCCGTAATCTTTCAGCTTCCTCTGTTACTGAAGTCAGTCATAACGTATCTCATTTTCCCCAAGCTGCTTTCAAGATTTTCTCTTTATCTCTAGTTTTAAGGAGTTGAACTATGCTTTACCTTGGTGTAGTTTTCTTTCTTTTTTTTTTGTTTTTGCTTTGAAATTTAGAAACACATTTTATTTGAGATATGAAATACAATTCCTAAAATATCAACTTTTCCAGAAAACCGTGGCTACACAATAATGCATTGCCTCTATCATGTTAGAACGTGCATTAGACTCAAATACAAAAACAATGAAACAAATCACCATCCTTCAACAATTTGAGCAAAGATAGAATACCTAAGGAACAACATAGATGGACTTGCAGAGAGGATGGGCTGTTTTACTTCAAGCACCATAAAAAAAAAAGAGCACAAATGCATGGGTTTTCGGGTATATACATTAAGTTGAACCTTTGGCACTAGGAATCAGGGCGTTTTGTCATGTAGCATTAACACATATTAGAAAATTGTGTAGTGTCAAAGGG